TGGCTATAAAAAATCGAGATTGATTTATTTGTTGCCTACATCATTTCGAAGCTTTGGATTAGGTATATAAAGCACCTATTTTTATTTAAATATTAATGGATATATTTTATATCTGGAACTATTTTATAGCTCGAAACATAAATAAATATTATTATAGATAAAATAATATCGTCAAGTAGTAGGCTTTTATCATTCCCTATTGCGGATTATATATTACCCAACAATATACATATCTATATAATTTCTTTAATAAAGTAATTTATTTTTGTTTATATATAAAGTAACTGTTTATATGAATGAATAATAATTTCATCATAATCACAAATGCTTTAAATAGAGCAAAAATGCAAATATTGCGTATTTTGAGCAGTGACGGACCGCGAAAATTAAAAAGGTCGTATTTGGATAGCGAGAGACCCACCCCATATGGTGTTTTAAGGGATGATTTTTTCTAAGCCCACATAGAGAACTTTCGTGACGAAAATTTGGAAATTTGCGAAATAAAAAGCTAAAATAGGGGTGGTGTAGATGTATGAGCAACCCCTACGATTACAAGCAATTCTATTTGTTGTACTTCTCTTTACTATAAACTGCACGTCTAAATTTTTTAACAAATGCAACGATTTCCACTTGTTTCAGTAAATAAATTTGTTTTCACACGTTTTAAATTAAATGGCAACGCATCTAACTCATCGGAAACATTTTCCTCATATTCAAATACCGTTTGAGCATAATTCATATAAAAAATCAATGGTAAACAAGCAGTATATCACTTACCGTTCAGCGTAAAACAAAAAAACAAATAATGAAACTGTCTTTCAAGCAACCGAATCTAAATATATAGATAAATATATCTTATCAGTTGGTAGAGTACTTTCATGTGTGCGTTCATGTTATCACACTCTCCACTTTATTCGACTAATTTAAATAATTATAATTCATATATCACAAAATGAAAAGAGATGTTTCCATTTCACATCCTGTGTAAATTGACCCCTCGCAATTTATCTGTGCATAAATAGATACAGGGTGATACAGACGCTGTTTAAGAGAAACTGTAAGGTATAAAGTCTAACTACGTGCTTAACATACTGTTAAGTTGTGTTTTTAATCACGTTTACCTATGAATGAAGCTTAGAACACGTTATTAATACGTGTTCTAAATATTACAGTATTTTAAATAGAAGCGCACATAATAAGAGCTTATGAAAATGAACCTATGCGATTGAAACATATTATCCTTGTCTAACACCGTAAGAGTAACAAGGACAAAGGTAATCGTCAGCAGCCAATATTAATGCTAAAATACTGAAAACATAATATATCTGGTAGTTCCAGATATCTGTCAGTGTACTGAGGATCAGCAGATGTCTAACTCATCATAAAAAATAAAATAGATATAAAACTTTCTTGGCATTAATAAATTTTCAAAATTTCTTAAGGTCTGACTTAAGTACAAATGACGACAGAATAAGAGGGCTCAAGCTCACTTACAAAAGGAAGACGAAGTGCAATAGTGCACATTAATTTCATGGCCAGATTGTGTCAAAATTCGCATATTGACATGAAACTGAGACAAGCCGTCGTCCATCTATCCCTTGAACCAAGTACCTATTCTGGGTTTATTATTTTGATAAAAGATATGCCAAATCTTCTAGAAAACGGGAGAGTTGTGTTATATGAGATTATTCCAATCCATAAATCTAAAGACTTGTGATAAATTTCACTTGTACATTTGACACCTATTTTTGTTTTAAATATTTAAGAATGGGTTAAATATATACGTTGATTAAATGATTACTCTGAAAGTTGGTAGCTTTAAATTTGTTGAATAATTTTTAGCGTCATAAAATTGTAAGTGAAAACAGGTTTAAGCTTTTAGTTGTTGCATAAAAACTCTCCTGAAATACCTATTATATTGCATTTTATTCACCCTGTATCACTGAGATGAACGTAAATTAGTATATAGTTTATAATGTTTCAAACCACTTCGAGGATTAGCGATGTAGCAATTTATATTTTTTACTACTAGTTCATCATAAAAAAAAATACTCGCGAACGAAGTTCAATGCGAATAACTTTGAAATGACTGTGCTAATAATATAAAGGTAAAATATTAAAATTTCAAAGTGAATCTTGAAATTTAATAGTGGCTTTCTTAAGTAAACATTCATTTAATGTTTTTAATAATTTTACCAATGAGTAGATTAATGTCACGGTTGAGGTGAAATTGGTTAAAATGTAAGAAATAAAGCTTAATTAAACAAAAAATTTCCCCAACGCATAATTATATAATAAATCAAGCTCAGTTTCCTGGCATAGCTAGAGATAATCATTTAAAATAAAAGTTCCTAAGTTAAAATTTCAAATTTTTGAAAAAGTACATAATATATTCTATTTACAACTATTATAGAATGACGTCCTATAATAGTTGCAAATTTTTCAAAACAAATTGTCTTAATAAATGTAAAAAGTGGATTAAATAATATTTCAATATATTTATAACGCAACCTAGAAATTCCATTTAAAATGAACAAATAACCTTTATATTCACAATTATAACTCCAATATGTCCAATATTGAAATTAAAGCGTTCCCAATTTACGTAAACAGAATAATAATAAATAAATCGTGCACTAACAATATTTTTATTAAGAAAATAATATGGGTAGAAGCGAAAGATACCAACTTGAGTTATGTTGAAGAAGTGTCGGCATTTCATGTTTTTTATAAACTTTGATCTCCGTCTGGATATCAAATTTCCGGTGCCAAATCCGCCCGACGCCTCACAATTGCTTTGCCCAGGATACTTGATTATGATCACACTTACCACTATCAACTACTACCCCTATATAGCCGGTCATCTATGCACACAGTTGCGCACACTCGATAACATTAATTGTTTATAAATATTTGCAAATTTTTTGAGGTGCAATTAATGTTTCAGTATAATAATATGAATAAAAAAATTCTAGCAAATACAACACGTGTTATTACATACACTGAAAACGTACAGCTTTTCTTTACCTTCTAATCCAAATATAAATTAGAAAAAATTATGAAAATTATCCATTACCATAATATAATATAACCCCCACCTAATTATGTACTTTGCATTTTCCGGACATACTTCTATTTATTTATTTATTTATTTTTCTTAGATAAATTAATGTTCAAGTCAAAACACAATTTAGAACATACTTTTTTAAAGTTCAAAAGAATATGAATTCATAAAATTATCTTTAATTATCTTTTTCTTATTTAAATTTTGAAAATATTAAAGGAATATCATTAGAATATTCTTGTAGTTGAAAAAAAAAAACACTTTCAATAAAAACAATAATTATTACTGTAAATACTGAATTACATTTACAGTGAAGTATTAACTATACAGAAAGTATATAAAGATTATCAAGATAAAGTTCCTAATTGAATATAAGGCATATGCAGACATTTATTCAAATCATCATTCATCTGCGTTCCTCTAAGACACTAGAACAGACAGATAATTTCAATTATTATTATATTAAAATTCAATTTCAAATAGAATCCATTTATAATTAAGTATTAATTGAAAATATTATTTTTATTTAATATTTTTATATATTACGCAGGTACTTTACATATTTCAAATATAAATTATACCGATTGTGAATCAATATTTATATAGGCAACATAAAGGTAAGCAATCTTATATTGTTGGTTGCATACCAAACAGGAAAACAATGAAATATTTCTGTACATTTTCTAAATGGTAAGAATCGAAGTATTGAATTAACATTTAGCTACGTTTAAGGTTAAAAAAATCTAAGCTAATACAGTTTGAAATTTTGGTTTTGAATGCTAAACATAGAACGATAATGTACAATTATTAGAACTGAAAACAGTTGAATTTAAATCATATTCAGTTTTAATATTATACTCATAGAAATATTAAAAATCATATTGACAACATTAAAGTGACAAGTTTAAAATCTCCAATATATTTATGAAAAATAAAAAATTATAATACCTACATTTTACAGTAAAATATATTTTCAAAATGGGTTCATCACACACAGGTATGACATCAAGTATTATTCGTAGTTTTTTATATACCTATTACGGATTACCTATTATAAAGATGCACAATATTTTATTATTGATAATAATTACGATTATTATTACTACGATGTAGATTGTAGATTTTTAATATTTTCCAGATTATTACGACGGTTTATTTGAAGCAGGCACGACTATTATGAATAGTCCTAAAGAAGATTGGAGGAGAGCTCAGAGAAAGCATTTTGATTATTTGTTCAATCGCAGTGAAGTTGATTTTGATCCACCACGAATTATAACTAAACCACCTCTAAAGAAACTCTATTATAGAAAACAGCGACGACATTTCCCTGTTGTCCACAAGGACCACATGACAAATTTTATGTAGAACTACAAGTACAACTTTTTTACCTCCTAAACACCAAATTCAAGTTTTTACTCAACTATTAAATTTAAAGAAATAAATTTATTATTCATACATAACTTTGGATACTTATTTTAATCAAACTGATTTGATTAAATTAGTAAAATAATATTAGCAGTTAATTAACCAAGTCTTAACCAGTACCCCAAAAGTACAATAGTGCCTAGAGACAGTAATCCATTTTGTTTTGAAGTTCTTGTTTTGCGTTTTTTTTCTTTAAAAAATGTAGCTGATAATTTAATTTAAGTCAGGTTAGGTTTTTCTCTAGTAAAACGTAAAACAGTCCAAAATCGTAAAAATTATACATTACAGTTATCTCTAACCTATGTCACATCAGGAACGCGCATGCAGGAGCCTCAAAGCAAAATGAATTAGGTTGCTTCTAGACTTAAAACTACCAGTTAAACATTATCCTCATATAATTTAATTATCCGTCAACACCAATCTTTCACTTTTGAGAAGCACTGGTATTCATTTAAATTGGTAACACCGTAGCAGTCGTAGCTCGTAGCAGTTCAGTGCGTTGTATCGTAGTGCTGCTGACAGTGCTGACTGCTGACGTAGCGTAAAAATAAATAACTTGACAATCGTCATTACTTTTATCAATAAATACTGTTTTCAAAATGTTGATGGTGGAAAGCAAGTGTTGAAATAATGTCCGAGACAAAATTCGATGGAGCCTTGTGTGCTTTAAATAAGCCTCAAGATGAGAGAACGTTGTTAAAAATATTGTTAATTATACGGAAGGAAGTTGAGTGGCCTAAAAACAAAGACAACATCACAAAGTTACGTGAAAAAGGATGTCTGAAGCAGCTCGTAACAATCTTACAAAAACAACAAAAAAGTGTGTTAGACGTGGTTTTAAGTATTTTAGGTAATTGTTTGATGGATAGAGGATGTACAAGGGACGTGGTAAGTAATAAAATTTTATAATTTAATATCTTGACCAGTGAATCTAAAACTGTCTCAGGTCGGTACTTACAACATTTTGTCACCCATAAACCAACTTCTAAAGCGATTTGCGAAAGAAGATAGCATCAATGGCAGAATCTTTAGAATAATTGGAAATATGTGCCAGCATAGAGATCAATGGGGTAATATTATTTTAGATCGAAAGCCACAAATAGTTAATCATATAGTGGATTTTATTAAGAAAGTCTCAAAAGATGAAATTCCAGAAGATGAAACAGTTTCTGAAGCAACAGTAATGATGGCAATTAGAGCTCTAAGGTATGTATGTACATTAAAATGTACCTATTAACAACGTTTTCTTTGAACTGCATTGGGGCACATCATATATAAATTTTTAGTACATTTTTGCTTTTTATTCCTTCAACTACTTCGCAATCTTATTAATTAATTATAAATTGAAAACAACTTGATAAATTGAATATTTGTAATATGCTAATGAAGTACAGTTGCGAAAACAGCTCAACCGGGTGCTCTGTATCAAAAGGTCTGACCCAGCATTATTTTGCAAATAAATTGTATAAACATTTTACACTTCACCTTCTATATTACAAAAATATAGAAAAAGTGACTAGAATAGGATAAATATATGTATTTTTAAATACAAGTTATCATATGAAATCTTTTTTAGGGTTATGTTAAATTGTCAAACAATAATAACATTAGTAAAGACATTTGGAGTCCTAAAAGCTATAGGTTCTTTATTCATCAAGTACAGTCTAGAATGGCAAGAAAATAAAAAAAATGAAAATTTGCTGAACAATATCATTAGATTATTCCAAGATTATTCCAGATATAAATATTATCATTCCATTATGGAAATGAGGAATACTGATCGTGGAGATTCTTTAATACATTTAAGTAACGTGCTAGTTTTAGCACCTAAACGTATTGTAAAAATTGTAATGAACTTTATTAGAATTAGCCAGTTGAAGTCTGAACTTCCTATTCCAGAAATCTGTGATAGATTCATTGAAGTTTTGAAAAAGTATCCTATTATAAAAGGTAATGATACAATGATAAAATCTAAATTTAAACTGTACGATTTCTTTTTAGAATTTGATGGAGAATGCGTGGAATATTTGCAATGTTTGTGTTACCTTCTTGACCATCCTGCTAATAGAAACAGTGAAAGATGTGGCAAAAGTATCCCCCTTCTCATTCAGTTACTTTATGAGTTCCAAGAACAGACAAATAAAGTATATGAATGTTGCATTCTACTCATAGCTTCTTTAAATAAATGCCGTTATGATGATAGTCTTATGTTGGAGCAACTCAAGTGTAATATTATTCAAATACTTGTAAACAAATTGCAATGGTTAGTTGGTAAATCTAATACATTGAATATTGAGCATAAACATGTGAAGAAACGGAAATATGATCTTTGTAGTAGTCCCATCAGCCACAAGAGATATGGGACAGAAGATGTAAGTGAAATAATATTTCATCTTTTCTATATTAATCCTTGTATTTTCAATTTTAGGGTTTTAAATCGTCTCCTCAATCGTCGTCATCTAATGAAGACAATTTTCGATTATACTCGCCTTCCTCTAGTGATGATGAACCGGACTTCTTTAAATTTGACCGCAGCCCAAGTCCTTGTTCCAGTTCTGATTCAGACATGCCTCTGTCATGGTCATCCCCTTGTTCTAGTCCTAAATCACTCATAACTGATGTATCAGATTCTGATTCTGATAATTACTCTCCCATTTGTAGTGAGGCTGATAATTCTGAATTTCCCTTGACCTTACCTGAAGAAGATGCCGCTCTTCCAACCAATGAACCTTCTGAAATTACTGAATTGGAGGAACAGAAATCATTAGGTAGGTACCAATTTAAATAGAAATATTTGAGAAGTGATTTATATAAGTGGAAACATGTCACATATTATTAGGATCAAAATAAGATGATTTAACGAACTTTTCTCTATCCAGAACTGCTTCATTTAGCCACTAGAGAGTGAAAATTAGAATTAGGTTCTTTGACCTGCTCTAGTTGTTCTCGGTTTAGGCTCTGTGGTGGATCTGTTATCAGAACCCCTAAGACTGCCCTGACGTTAATTTTTTACCAACTATAACAACCCCTAGCAGCTAAGTTCTTTTGTAAGACATCGTCTTATTTTGACCCTTAAAATATGTTGTTTATTACATTTTGACATAAATTCTCTTCATCTTAGAGCATCTTAACAACAAAACTGTATCCCATAGCCTAAAAGCAAGGCTTTTAACAGAAATAACCAAACTACTGAAAAGTTACACTAAACTACGTCCCTCAGTTCCTCAGTTAGCGTCTGCAGAACTATTGATCGCTCTATTAAAATGTTCTGGAAATTTTGAGTGGACGTTTTCCTACAGTGTAGATACCATAGAACTAATATGCAGGATACTAGATTCCCATGACTACCTCATACCTTTGATGCAGACTGAATTTATTCAGACGGTATATGATCTGACAGATATGCAACACCGTAAGTGGTGCACCAAGTGCTCGAAATATTTAATTATCGGGCAGACGATACTAAGGAAATTTACGTCTCTCGCTGAATCAGGTGTCGGCAAAGGAGATATTGCACACAAATTGATGAGGGGCGAGAATGAAATTAAGCAGAAGTTGGTACTCGTCATTCCATATATAGTAAAGTAAGTACAATTCTATATTTTGTTTATAAAAATAATTTTGCAACAAATTTAAATTTGTAAAAGTATATAGTGTTCCTTAAAAAATTTACTTTTTCACCAACATGCCTTAAAAATCACCTTATCTGTTTGAATTTCAATCACCTCAACATTTTAGAACATTTTCTGTGTATCTGATGTAATAGCGAAGTTTTGCTTTGCCACCCTGTATATTAAGAGTGGTATATATATTTCCACTAAACCTTTATTTTTATTTTAGGAACAAGTATGTTCTGGGCAGATTAATGCTGAACTGTGGTGGTCTAGAGATCCTAATGAAATTACTTCGAGGCGATACAGATCTGAAAAAAAGGAGTATAAAAGTTCTTTGTGCGATGGCCTCTAGGAAGTTAGAAATAGCTAACCCGAAGGACGTATTGTCAGCAGGTCTAAATCGCCCAAAAATAGTGGCAGATAAATACAAACTTGATGAAAATTGCACACACATTGTTACTTTTAAATTGGACGATGGAACATTTCTGATCGCAGATCGAGAGTTTTTAAGTGAGAGATCTGATTTTTTCAACAGATTATTGAACGGTCATTTTAAAGAAAGTACCGAGGATGTGATCTCTCTCCATAACGTTGAATTGAAGCCTTTACGTTGCCTGTTACACTTATTAACTTGTGTGGATAAATCGGAGACAATTGAAATAGATCTCGATCTGGACACTCTGTTGGAGGTCATTGCTTTAAGTGATCGTTATCTCATGATAGACCTATGCGTGGCTCTAACCGATTGTATAGAACAGTTCAAAATTTCTCCGCAAACTGTACCAGTCATTTATCGATGGTCTCTAGAATCCGGTACGAATTTGCTTCGAGTCGAATCGATAGCTTTTGCGCTAGTAGAAAACATCGGTGACACTGAGAGATTTGTTATGTTTGAAAATCTGTTCGGACTTGGATATTCTGAACAACTGGTTGAAGACATACAGAAGTTACTAGTGAGATATTTGACTTGTTGGATGGCTGATGCTGACAAGTACAACTCCAACAAGAATAAAATTATGGCACATTTAAGAAATTTAAGGGACAATTTATTAAAACAGTGTATCTAAGCAGAGCTTGTATAAGGATGATATATCCAAAGTCTAGAATTTTTTTTATTATATTTTGACCGAGTGTTATTGTAAAGTTTTATTTATTAATTGATAGTTATTGAACTGTAATGATGCGATTAAATATTTTTTGCATTGATGGTGTTTCTATTATTTTGTTGGTTTGGAATAACAAAGTTGTATCTACCGTTTTTGCCAGAATAGAGATTTTTGTATGTTATGGCACGTTTAAGTTTGGAGTTAGTAAGGAGTAGAACAATAGAAGAACACTTCAGGAGCAATTCTAGTTTAGTTTTGAAAAGGCACTATTTATCTGTTAGTAAATAACGCAAAAAACGCCAAACCACAAAATATTAAAAACTATCAAATATGTTTTCAAAATGTTGTCTACTGTCAAGGTCACTAAATGAGGGGGCTTTCGTTTGGCAGAAATAGTATTTATTAGCAACTAATATCAGTTCAGAGTAACTCTAAGTTGCTACAAGCTACAATTATTACCAAATCGAAAGGCCCTCAGAGGGTAATTTCGAGTTACTCTGAACTGATATTAGTTGCTAATAAATACTATCTCTGCCAAACGAAACCCCCTCATTTAGTGACCTTGACTCCTTGACAGTAGACAACATTTTGACAGAGTTTTGACTTTTAACATTTTGAAAACACGTATGATAGTTTTTAAATGTTTTGGGTTTGGCGTTCTTTGCATTATTTATTATTTATTAACAGATAAATAGGGCTTTTTCAAAACTAAAAAGATATATATTTTTTAGGAGTGAACATGGCAAGGGAAATGCGGTTATTCAAACTATGTAAAGGAACATTTGGTCATGTAAGTGGGAAAAATTAAAAAAATGTTAGATTTGTAAAACTACTTTCTTGGAATAACGTGAAATCATTTCAGGTGCACAATTTTCACATGACAGCTATTACCAATGCTGCAGCGGCTGAAGCCCAACCAGCCCCTCGATTGAAGACTTTTGCAATCTATCGCTGGAATCCTGATGAACCCAATAAAAAACCACGCATGCAGGAGTACTCTGTAGACCTCAATGCTTGCGGCCCTATGGTACTGGACGCCCTTATTAAAATTAAGAATGAAGTTGATCCTACGTTAACTTTTAGGAGGTCATGTCGTGAAGGAATTTGTGGATCTTGCGCAATGAATATAGGTGGAGTAAACACACTAGCCTGTATTAGGTAACTTTTTGTAAACAATGTTTTAATCTTGGTATTTATTACCTTCGAATAATACTAATAACATTTTGTTTCAGTAAAATCGATATCAAGGCTGAAAAAACTACAAAAATTTATCCACTACCGCATATGTATGTAGTTAAGGACCTCATCCCGGATATGAATAATTTCTATAAACAGTATAAATCTATAGAACCATGGTTGCAATGGCAGTAAGTGTCGTAAGACATTGTTAGCCAATATATACTTTACTGTATATTTTAGTGGAGATGGTCAAAAGAAATCTGGTGAAGTACAACAATTGCTGCAGAGTGTAGAAGATAGGCAGAAACTGGATGGATTATATGAATGTATTTTATGTGCTTGCTGTTCTACGTTTTGTCCAAGTTACTGGTGGAATGGGGACAAATATTTAGGGCCTGCTGTTCTCATGCAGGTAAGAATGTAGTAAAAATGAATTTAATTAAGCATTATATACAGGATGTTTAGATTGGATCTGGAACACTTTCAAATTTTAATCCTGTGATTTCGATGATTTCGACAAATAATGCATGGTAAAAGAACAAACCAAATAATAGCTATAACACTGTTAAATAATTACAACCACTTTGTTTTCTATATATATTTTCATTAAAACTTCCACTCTAATTTTGTATATCTTCTATACATATAAACCTTTTTCTTAAGAGTATACGAGAAATATAAGCCTATAGCCATCAGGTCTAAATACCTTGGACTCCACTTCTGAATTGGACCTCTAAGATCCATCTATTTTTTAGGAATGTGTGTGTTAAGCTACGTCACTACTGGTCTTGCATTGTGAAAAAAGCAGTTACAATTTAGTTATATTTCACTCGAATTTAGTGTCACGGGTTTCTGGAGGTGCTAAATTAGAATGTAGTGTTAACTTTTTGATAAAAAAAAATCGCTAATATACATGTATATTTTTTGGCAAATCATATTCTGTAGTCAGAACAATCACTTTCCAGGTAATCATCATTTAGTACCAAAATGTGAAAATGTATCAACACCAAATAATCGAAGTATAAATATGGCGCTACGAAAATTGAAACTTTTGCAGGCCTATCGTTGGATTATCGATTCAAGAGATGAAGCTACTGCCAAACGTCTAGATAAAATGAGAGACCCTTTTTCTGTTTTTAGATGTCATACCATTATGAATTGTACTAAAACCTGCCCTAAGGTACCAAGTCTTTAATTTATGTTCATTTCTGAATTGCCTATATAATTTGTTTTAAGGGATTGAACCCGGGAAAAGCCATCGCAGAAATCAAGAAACTATTGGCAGGTGTGGCAAAAAAAGAGGAACCTGGACTTAAAACAAGTGCTTTACAAAAGTAATACGAATAATTTGGTAGTTAAGAATAAGAACTATAAGCTTTTAGGATAAAACTCTTTAAAACTGTAATTGTTTCATTTTTTATTCAATTCAGTATTATTTTATGTATATTTTAATGTGATTAAGTTATTAATTATTAAATAAACAATTTTGTTTAAATTACTGAACAATTTTTTTAATTACCGCCTGTTTTTTGAGTGTTGATTAACACTTGGTTAAATAATTAAACAATTAGATTATATACAGGGTGCTTCACTTGAGAATGTGCACCATAAAACTCTTGAAAACAAAGATACAAAGCTTGCAATGGTGGATGGTGAAAACCAAAGAAGTCATATTTTAATACTGTCTTTTAAAGGATGATATCTCTAAACCCATAGAGAACTTTCGTCAGAAAAAATTTCAAAACGAAATTTGTGACATAAAAAATGGTCGTATTCAAAAAATTTATATTTTTCATAATGAACTGACACATAATTAGGCGTTTTTTAAATCTTTTACAAAATAAACAACACTGCATTTTTGAAAATCCATTTTATTGGAGCGTTAAGAAATACAATTTTTCGAAAAATAAAAAAATCACCATTGCTATTAGTTGATTATGAAAAAAATATATATGTTGCAATAGTTTTAAAGATCTCGCAGTTGGCCACCCATATTTTAATTTATTTTGCATATTTCGCTTAAAGGAGGTTGAGGTGTGCTTCTATAATCTTTTTTAAAATTGTTTGCCTCAATACCCTTGCCAGTTGCCGCAGTATTTTTCAGTCTACGATCGGATGACCCTGATGGCGTAGATTCCATTGTAACACATTCAATATTCAATGCTGAGGAAATAATGACAGTATGGTCCTCAGACTGTCCATATTTCCTCAGTATTTTGACTCCGCTTACGGTACCTACTAATAAAATTATTTCTGCCAATATAGTGACAGACTGACACTGTATCGGTACATTTTGTCCTCACACTATCAATAATGCTGTCAATATTTTTAAATACTGACAGTAATGTCTTTATGCTTTCCCTTGCAAAAATTTTTAACCATGCCCATGTCAGTTGATAACGTTTAAAAGCGGTTTAAAACAATTAACAAACAAAACAATAAATATTTTCTGTTCTGCAACAGTATGTTGGTAAAATAGTATATGTAATGCAAGTTACATACACATAAACGTATCAGTGTAATCAGAAACAAAACGGCAAATATAGGGTGTTTCATTAAAAAAGAAAAGTTTATATCTCTGAAACGCAACATTCAACTGTTTTTATGTTTTCCTTTTAGACAATAAAAGAAATCCTAAAACTTTAGCCTTTACGATTTTTTGCTACATAGAATAAAGGCAAAAACGATGAAGGGGTTGTTATGTTCATGAACATTTATCTTAAAAATTTAACAGGAAAATATCTTTTTTAAAAAATAAGTATCGCAAAGAAATGTTTTTTAGTTTCTGTTGAGTAACTGATACATTTAAAAGACTATTTTTCAATTCTAAAACTCCCTATAAATGTAACCTTGTTCTTATTTCATCCCGACCACATCTCTAAATGATCCATCCAAACTTAAACATAACATACACTGTTGCCAAATGGACAATGCGGACAACCTTTTCCCCATTTTGCTTTTTTATTTTAAAAAGATATTCCCACCAATTTCAAAAAAATATTTCTCAGTTTATCTCTGTAAACTTGAAGTGTGAAGAACCAAAGTAAACGTTACATTTCGCATATCAGAAAACCGTAACTGTGGCAACGTTTACAACCTGCGTAAAATGATGCTCTGCTGCTGCTGCCGTTTTCTATCTCGTTTTCCGCGGTGGTGGTAGTCGGTGTCGTACTGTGGAGAGGTTTGTGTGTCGCGCTGGTGGTCGCCATGCGTGATTTGGCCAGTAAAATGGCCGAGTTAAAATTTGAAGCCCCCCTAGCGCAATTCGAGGAGACGGATGAATGGGGTTCGACCGAATTTCAAACAGCCAATCTGAAAAACGAGAATGAACTGAACAACATCAACATGAACAGGAAAAACAAAGACCTGAACGACGTTTTGAACGATTTCAGTGAGGACATCATCAATAATTCGAATCCCGACAATTTACCGCCAAAAACCATCATTTTGAAAAATGGAGATACCGCATCGGTGGCCGATAACTTTACAGAGACGTTCTCGGGTTCTTTGGAGGATTTAGTGAATACTTTCGATGAAAAAATTACCAAGTGTTTTGGGAATTATGAGGAATCCGTCGAAAAACTGGCACCGGTTCAAGTGAGGACACAGGAGGAAATCATGAATGAATGCCAGTAAGTCTATATTTTCTTTATTTTAAAAATCCATATTCACGCAGCTAAGCGAAATTCTTGCAAATTGGAAAAAACAAATACGCACATAGGAGGCATCGAATTATCTAAGTACATACTGCCTCGAAATTTTATTCAAACATTATAAATTATGATCTAAATAGGTACTTAAATAATAAATTAATGTCTGTCTGAAAAAATAATGAAAATCTATGACGCTCGTCAACAATGCCTGACAAAAATAGATAAAGTATACAATCTGCCTTTGATTCGTTTATGTATTTTAGACAAAGAATACAAGATTGGAAGCTGAAGTAATAATTTTTTTTTCTTGATCAATCACTGGCTGTAGATTTCAAAGCAATAAAATGTGACAAAGCAAAACCAAAACAAAGCAAGTAGATAGATGCTTTTTGACAAAAACCAAGTCGATCCAAAATCGATTAGCAATATTCTTATGAGCGCTATATTTTTTAATTGAAATCTATTATTAAAAGGGTTTTTTGCCTTTACACAGGGTTTCCAGCGACGCTGGAAATACTGGAATGTCTGGAAGAGCCAGGGATATGCAGGCATTACTCTGGCAATAGGGAATATAACGTAAAATACCGAAGAAATTGGAAATTGGAATAATTTTTCTCCAAAAACCTGGAATTTATTATAAATTCTGAATCTCTGATGCAATAAATCATTTAAAATTAATCTCGATTTATTTCCGTAATTTCCATTTATTTTTTTGGCTCTGTAACAAACATTAGCCAATCTGTTTTGTTATTTTTATGTTGTCCAGATTTTTATTTTACTTATGCCATAATTTCCAAATCTACGTTCTTCAAATTCATACTTTAAAGAAGTAATCAAAACTGTTACACGGAATTTGTCAGTATTTTAATTTAATTAAAATTATTTTCAAAATCTTACAATTCAGATTTTAAAAAGCGCTGGAAACCCTGTTACTTGGTATAAACATTTATTATTTAAAATTACTAAAAAGGCAAAACATCAGATTCAACAATAAATACTACGAAAGTTTATAACAGTGCGTAGCAAGCTGTCTGGATTTACAAAACCCCAAAAAATCTCGCGAGATATGCATTTTCCGGAAAAAACAAATAGAGGGAAAGTTAGTATTTTTCCCTGGCTATTCAATGGTGGCCATGCTATGACCACTGCATGACCACTGACCACGGGGTCAAGACGATTTTTTAAAATGGGAATCCCCATTTTTGACCCCGGAAATGGAAAGAGCGGAAAATTTTACGTTGAGATATGATCTTGACCGTTTCAAAAATTTCAAAATGGCGGCGAAATCAAGATGGCGGACGAAATTTTTGAAAGTTATCCGATTGTCACCAAATTTTATATACGGAGGTTTTCGAGGTCGCTGATCACGAATCGAATTTAAAAAATCAAGATGGCGGATGAATTTTTCGAAAATCAACCTATTTACACCAAACGTTGCATACGGGGGTTTTGGGGGTCAAATTTGCAAAATTCAAATTGCCGAATTGAAGATGGCGGACAAATTTTTTGAAAATCAATCGATTTGCATCAAAGATGGTATACAGCCGTTTTGAAATTTTTGAAATGGTCAAGGTCATATCTGAACGTAAAATTTTCCGCTTTTTCCATTTCTGGGGTCAAAAAGGGGGTTCCCATTAAAAAAATCGTCTTGACACCATAGTGACCACGTCAGTGGTCAGTGCTCATGGCATGGTCACCATTGAACAGCCAGGGAAAAACCCTAACATTCCCTATATTATTATTTGATTTTTCCGGAAAATGCATATCTCGAGAGATTTTTTGGAGTTGCCATACTTTTATACCACCCTGTATATATAGATACAAAAAGGAGGTATTGTTCAACAGAATACGTTTCCATTCCATTTATTCCATATCGTAATATCAAAAGGAACCTACCAAAATGAATTACCTTCCTTCTCAGTCAAAATTTTCATTCAATTGACATAAGGTCTGTTCCAACAAGAGTCAGGGATTGGTTCCAAACCGTCAGAAATGTGCATCCAACTAATTCTTGCGATATAAGTATTCACTGAAGACACATTTAGAATTTAGCTGGCCACATTTCGAACGGTTGGGAACCAATCCCTGACTCTTGTTGGAACAGACCTATAGTGGTGGTCTTTTTGTGACATTTGCCAGCCAGTCTTTTTTATTTTTATAATACCTATTATTGATGTTTCTTACCATTTTAATTTTATCTAGCATCACATACAAATATACCTACTTTTACAAGCTCAAGTCAATGATTCCTATAATATTAAACTGTATAAAGTAAAACATATTCTAAGAACTGTAGTACGAGTGAGTGGTATTTAAAATTTCCATTTTCACCTATAGTAGAAATTACCACTACAACCTGTTCATTATATAATGGAATCCTATGCGAGTTCAGAAAACGTAATAATAATACACCGAAATGCTTTGGGGCTATTCGTGTGAGCTAACCCTACTACCTGAATCGTTTCCACAGCTTCGAACGGCCTAAGTACAACTGGTTTAGTCAAAGAAAGGTTACCGGTGTCTTTAAAGGCTTGTCCGTTCCAGGAACCAAGAAACCATAGTTAAGTCTTCCTTATTTGTAGTAATACATCAATGTAAGACGTCTGTTTGTCTTAATCCAATATAATATGTATGTTCATATTTCTCTGGCCTTTCTCTTTCTTATATAAGACCGTTTGTTCTTAAAAAAATTGCTATAGTGTATACAGTTTCTTGGTAAAATGAATGGAAATCGCAAGACTTCAGGAAAAATTGTAACGAAGTATTAATTATTATGTATTAATACTATGTATTAATTAATATCAAAAACAGAAAGAGAACATTATTTTTCAGAAAAACGCAAACATCAAAACAGAACGCATAAAAATGTATTTTGAGCAATTAAAAATTGACACATCAATTGTATTGTTATAATAATGGTATAATGAACTTCATGTTAATATATATCGACATGATTTTTAAAACCTAATTTGTTCTTTATATGGAACATCGAACAGTCAAAAGCTAAAAACATTAAAATGGAATAAACGTCTCTAGCATTAAAATTTAAATGTTAATTAATCAGTATCAATTAATCAACGTAAATTGATGACACAATGTGTGTGAGTAATGTTAAGTAAATTAGTGATGCTGCTTGTTACAAATTATACGAGTATGTTTCTGTTTTGTTTTTAAATAATAACATTATTCAAAACATTTTTATAGCTTGATATTTTCCGTTAACTCTTTTAAAATGATCTGAAAGGTCAAAGATCAATTACGATCACGTCTTCAATTACACGATTTATAAAGGGCAGTGTCAATTTTCTTAGTCCGTGGGTGCAGATATTCGCAAAAATTTGATAGACACTCCACCAGACAGGTTAAATATTGATCAGGTTCAATAAAATCAATAAATCTATAAGTCGGCAATCGGATGACTCAGTGTTTGTTGTTTATTAAATTTGACCTGATCTTAAATGTCAACAAATGTTAGTCCCAGATACGTCTGTCGGGAGCCTGAATATTGCACAAGTCCTGCTCCGTAAGTATACACTACTTATTTTGGGAATATTAATTACATTTAAAAAATTCACAATCCATTTGTAATATTTATCGAATTTCTGCTGCGTTTGTCAATTTTTGATATTAAAAATGGACGTTATACAGGGTGATATTATTGTCTCTAGATTAAATGGATTGGTAGGTATGGTAGGTACCTACCATGATTATTGTAGAATGAAATGCTCTAAATCCTAGTCTAATATTTGCGGTATTACTATAATTCTTAGCAGTCAGTAAGCATTACAAATGATCAAATAACTATTAACATATTTGTATAATTATATAACTATTAACATATTTATATAACTATATATTACTAGTACTTACTAATAGGCACTGTAAAAGTTACGCTTATTGAACACCCCATATATTATTTAATGTAGGTTATGAACACGTATTATTTTTTTAACACCGTCATGGTGGTTACATTATCTAACTAATTAAAAATTATTTAGTTAAAGAGGTAAGATTTAGTGAAGAGCAGATTTTGAGATATCTTTGATTTTACATTTTATACGTTTTGAAGTCTGTAAAAGAGCGATAAGAAATAGGTAAAATCTTTGAAATGTCAGCTCCGTGTGACGAAGTTCTTGGTTGTAGTGCAGGTCCTAATTGTTTTTACATTCAAGTGATTCCTTGACCTACTTCTTTCTGTAGAAAGCAAGCATTAACCATCGGCCAAGTCTAATCTATAAAGATGTGTCCTAATTCATCTGTTCCTTTATGATGTTCATATTTACAAAGCGAAATTGCACTTTAAGACACACCAGTTTAATGTAAACAATAAGTTTGTTTACACGTGGCAAATTGTGACAAATAAACGATTTAAAACAATAAGGTAATGGTTATAAATAAATAAAAAAAATGTATGATGTTAAGCCGATATTAATTTTATCTCTGTGATAAAAATAAACCGTAAGATATTGATAAAATTCTTCCTATTCTCAAAAGATTTACCTACTCAAAATAATAATAACATTTAATTGAAAATGACCTCACATCTTTAAAAAATCTGGTGAAGACACGCTTCAAGGAAACGCGGATGACAAAATGCCACAAAAGTAGATAAACTGTAGGTAGCTGAAATATACATAAATGTATATCAGTAATAATGAGAATAATCGATTAAAATAATAAAACGTGAATGAACAGAGTGACATGTAGAAAGTAAAAGAAATCACAGAAAAAAAAACATGAAATAAAGACGTCAATCAAAATCTGGAAAGAAGAATACGATATTTAAACATAAAACTTGTAAAGTTCATGGAATTCAATAACGAACTATAAGCTGAGACAATCTACAATACTTTAAATGTTATTGCTATAATTAATAAAATTTTAAGAATGTATTATCAGAGAAGTAGGTACATTTATAAAGTTACTAAGTATGAAAATATTCATTTTATCTTTCAAGATGCACTAGTCGGTGCAGGATA